GCAAATCCCAGGCTGAAGGTCAGTATTGCGCCATTCAACACACCACTAAGATTGTTATCCAGATTGCCCTGTGCAAAGGCGATGTCGATGTCCCAATGAGTAACTACTGCACCCTTGGTGGACTTTGTAGTCCCGGTGCCCTGAGTGAGAGCTCTTTCCCGGCCATAGCCATCCACCGCATTGTACACTTGCAACAAGTATGCATCCTCTCGGTTCTGGAGATTGACACGAGTAACTTTGTTGAAGCATTGACATTGCTCCTCTGACAATTCGGTGCAACGCTTCCATTTCGCTAGCTCCACCGTAAAGGCCGACTCCAAACGATGAACGTATTGAATCATCGTTTGGCTCTTGACTCGTATCCCATCATCTGACTCAAACGTCCAAATAAATGCACTGACTCGATAAGCCAACTTCTCTGGCTCCATCACAAACTGCCAGGCTTCTGACTTAATTTCCCGCCCCACTGTGCCAAACATCCGACCAAACTTCGAAATTGGATCTTTAATTTTATCCCGCTATTGTGCACAAAACTCTCGATAGCGATCCAACATCCAAGCATTCTTTTTTTCAGTTCCCTGCGCAAATTGAATACCAGCCAGCTTATCCAACTTCTCCGTCAGCTTCTCCTGCGTTGCAGCCAAATTTCTATCAGTGGCTGCCAGCATTTCTATGCCCCCATGTCCAGTGGCCGCAAGAGCATCACCCATGACCGGGGTATTAGTGGGGATGAGCGGAATTGCACGGCCACCGACTTGGTCAATAGCTACTGATCCAGCTGAGCTCTCTTGTGGTTGTGACGCAAGGTACCGGTGTTAAAATTCTTGGAATAAAGCTAATGCAAGACACAATGAACTCCACATGAATAGAGTGTGTCTCTGGCCGTATGACTGACCGGGGATGAAGTTGAAAGCACACTGGTTATGCAATCAACAAAATGCACCGAAACGACAAGTTGTTGAGGTGCCAATTCGTAGCGAGTCGTGGCCAGTTCATCAAACCGTTAAACGGTTTTGATTACCCGGTTAATGTGGTGCAACATCCGGCGGGCAGTCAGCTGCCGCTTGTGCCTTGGATGCTTCCCGCGTGCGCGACTTGCCCGAGAGTGCGTGGCCGATTGGTGCGAGTGCGCGGAAAGGAGCGACCGCCGGCGATCATGTTGGGCAACAATGGCCGGACGTGGCGGACCTTGGGGAACGGCTTTCGAAGCCGATGCGTAGTTGGCCGGCGAGGCGGAGGTGCCGGGCCATGGAGCTCGTTCTGGCGGAATGGCGGAGGCGTTGAGCAGTGCGAGTGTGGCGGAATTGGTCGGAAAGGTGGCGTGGAACGAGAGAACCCTTGCGCGCATCGAGGGGAAGCTCGACGCGTTGTTGAGGGCGATTGAGGAGGGCGCCTTACGTGAAAGGGCGGAGGCGGGTAGTCCGGAGGCCGCGGGCCGATCGTCCCCGGCCACTCAAGCTGCCTCATAGATGGCCATCGGGGAGCTCTTCGTTGAGCTCCGGATAGAGGCGGTGGGGGCGCGAGGGTCGGCCACGAAGTAGGCCTTCGTGGCCGTCCGGAGGGCCCTAGAAAACCTCCCTGAAAGGGGGATGCACGTTCCCCCGGCCGGTCCGGAGGGTTAGAGCGGCGCGCTGGGGGCGGAGGAAGAGACGCCCGAGCTGCGCCTTATCGAACGCGGGTGGGCGGTGCTCGCGAGCAGGCAAATGCCACGGGAGGGAGGCTCTGAGCAATTCGGAGGAAGGAAGTCATGTACGACGCCCGGATTGGCCGAGCGTCATGAAATGTAATTGCAAGGAGTACTTGTGATTGATAGAAAAAGGGGGAAAACGGTTTGATAAGGGGAAGTGAAGGTGATAAGGCAAGGTTATTGTAACACCTATCAGATGCATGAGAAGTGACCTGTGCGCATGCACAGAGGCTTTAGAGGAGGGGGTGCGTTGGTTCTTGGGGTGGTGATGTTTTTTAGTGAAACGGTTGGAGAAAGGTGATGTAACCGGGTACCAAAGTGGGTGAATGATAATGTGTTAGAATCCAACGTTGGGAATTCACTCAGGACGCTGCAAAGATGGCCCAACGCACTGCGAATTCGCAGTGGGAAGTGGCATGTGGAGAGTCCGAAAAGGGGGTGTTGTGATGCCCAACAACTGGGGTATATAGGGGCTGGCTTTTGGCCAGTTTGGACAGCACCAAGACCAGCGCTGCAAATCGCCTCGAACGAACGACCACAAGGCTGCGAGGGAACGCTGGGAGTTTGTTGCCCAAGCGCAACCAGTCGTTGGAGTCAGTCGCCGCAGCTGGGGGGTGGTTCGATTGGGGAATTGCTGGCTGGAGTGACGGATTGAGCTTGGTGTCCACCATAGTGAACGGTGAAACTGGGGAAAGTGGTTGTGTGGGGCTGAACGGACAGACCATCGTGTGAAGTGTTGTTGCTGTGTGCTTGTGAGATGTGTAAGACCTTTTTTGACTGAAGAAGACGGTTGTGAGTGGTATCTCAAAAAATCACCTGCATTGATTTGGGGTGATTGTCCAGCACTTCCAACAGTGCCTAGAATCGGATTGTTTCAAACTGGAAAAGGCCGATCGATGTAAATGACAATGTCATTGAAGATGGATAGCGAGTCCTGGTGATGTTTATAATTTGAAGGGGTTGAGGACACTCAACGTGTAAGTGTATTTTTGTGAGAACATTGCTTCAAGCCGGTGATCTATCAGCCAAGATGGCGATCACCATGAAGGGCTTTTAACACCGGGCCACCACGTCATCGGTATCTTCATTCGGCAGGTCACCCATCTCATTCAAAAGCCAGTCAACGTTGCCATCAGGCAACGTACAAGGCAGCCTGTCGTATGGTGCTCTGACTCCCAGCTTGCTTTGCAATAGAACGGGCTGATCCCATGCATCCTTGTCACTCCATTCGTTCTCTTTGTTGCCAAAGTCGTGATGCTCATCGCGGCGAGGGCTCAAGCCAGCCCATCTTGCCGTTTCTTTGTCCACTCCGAACAAATGATCAGAGGCCTCCATTCCGGTTACTATTTTTTTTGCGACAGTGGATTGTTCTTTTCTGCAACAGTGCCAAACTACTCTTTTTTGCGATATTGGCGATAATTGATGCGCGAGATGTTGGCATCAGATTTGCCACACCACCCTTGCACGGTCCACCGGGCCTCCTCTCACAACGGCACTGAAGGCGCGTCTGTTCGGAGAAAGGACTAAAAGGCAAAACAGGAACGTTTGGGGACGCCCAGGGTCCCCACCTTGCGGAAGGGGGCTGCCGCTACCACTCGGCGATCACCTTGGCGCTGAGATTCAGCCGAATCGGCTGAGGTTGCAGCCCCCCGTTTCCTCCCCAGATCTGTTTTTACCGTGCTAGCCCCCTGAAATGCGGCCACTTGGCTGCGCGGGGAGACGGCGCCGCGAACTGGGACCGGGGAGTGTTGCTCGTGATGCCGGACGGGGAGGCCAAGGCGCTGGTTGCCAGCGCCATTGCCGTCCAAGCATCGACCATCAAGGCGCCCATGCCTAGCGCCGTTGACTGGTCACACGACCAGGTTTCACTGCCGGGTGGGGGCACACCCTGTGAGCCGCGACCTGTGGCGGGCTGCCACTGGAGCCATTTCAGCGATTGGCGCAACCCTAGTGCTCATTTGGCGCCGTCCGGACCTGTGCGTCACCCAGACCCCAAACAAGCACAGCGTTGACTCGTGAAGTTCGAGGGAGCGGAAAACGGTCCCTCGGGCGGTGAACAACAGCGACCGCGGCTGCTAGCGACCAGTGGCAAGTGACGGTGGAAGGGGGCGGGGGCCGGGTAGGCGAGCTGGTTCGAAGGCCCGCTGCCTTCCCAAGCTGTGCATTAGTCATATTCACTGTTGCAGAAAAGAACAATCCACTGTCGCAAAAAAGAGTAGTTTGGCACTGTCGCAAAAAAGAATAGTCCACTGCCGCAAAAAGAAATATTCACCCTCCATTCCTGGGGGCTTTGCGAGTTGCGTGTGGCGTTTTCACCCATGATGCTTCGCGCGCTTTTTTCTGTTGTCCATGATGCTTCGCGCGCTTTTTTCCCGCCCCGCCAGCCTCGCCGTCGACTGGCCGCGCGTCGGGGTGCCGTGGCAGGCGCCAGAATAGCTGGCCCACGTCATTACGTAATGACGTGCCCACCGCCCACAACGCGGGGGTGACCAAGCACAGTGGTAGGAATCAGAGGGATTCCTGCCACATGTGACTCAGCACAGGGCGCAGAAATCCCGCATGTGACTCAGCACAGGGCGCAGGAATCAGGGATTCCTGCCGCATGTGGCTCAGCACAGGACGCAGGAATCAGGGATTCCTGCCGCATGTGGCTCAGCACAGGACGCAGGAATCAGGGATTCCCGGTCCTGGGCCAGGGGAGGGTGGGCGGGACACGGTTGAGTCCTCCACATGTGATGAACTGCGGTGATGTACTAGCCCAAAATTTGCCGCCAGGACAGGCGGTGTGCATCCCTTTGACCACAAACTGGCAGGGGTGGTGGTGCGGTGGGCAGCGCGAACTGGGACCATGCTGTGGGGAACTTGCCACCGTGCATCAGTGTTCGCTTGACGTACCACCGGGGAATCAAAATAATCCCGTCCGCTGTAACCCCTCTATTGAACAGCTCCTTGCACGATTCAGTACAGCTCGGGCACGTTCCCCGCCCCTGCCCACCACCTTGCCCTCGACTCCACAGCGCGTCCACCGCTTCCCAATCATCCAGCTCCCAGGTGCTGGGGCAGGTAAAAAAGCAGAAGGGCGCTACGCCGCGTGCGCGCCCACCGTTTTCGGCAAACTGCGAACCTGGCCCCTTCGCACACAGAGGACACCAGCCGCGGCCGCCCCCCCTTCTGCAGTCATCAGTTGCTGTAGCCGGCGTCCTTGGGGGGTCGGCCTTTGCTTGCCGAGGCCGCAGCCCTGGAAGCTGGGAGTCGCCGCGGCTTGTTGTGAGCCTCCCATTCGAGTCCGGGGATCGGCTGTGGCGGAGATTGAATGGGGGCCGCCTCCGAGTTCGTGAGGGCGGTCGTTGCCCTGGTCGCCTTCCTGCTGAACGTGACGCTCGACCTGCTGCACGTTCCCCTGCTGCTGCCGGGCCTGCTCTCGATCTACCGCACAGCCTCCGTCCTGAGGTCGTTGTCTGCTTCTTGGGGTAAGCGGTCCCGCTATGATTACCGCAAGGCCGCGTGGAAGCATTTCGGGCGGATGGCGGCTGACGTGCTGGTCGTGCTGCCTTTTGGTCTGGCTGCGCTGCCTCGCGCAGGCGCCCTGATTCGGGCGTGCCTTTCTAAGCCCAAAGAGTACGTGTGGATAACGGTGAACCACGGCTTGGTGATGGTCGTGGACTTGCTTTCCGTGCTGCCCTTCCTGTTCACCTTGCTGACGGGGATTCGCACGAGGAGGCTGTTGAGGGACATGAGGAAAGAGATTGAAGCAGCGAGAGGGAAGACCGAGGTGATTTGGGGCTTGAGGGGGGTTGTTTGGGAACAATTTTTTTCGCTGCTGCTGGAGCTGCTCTACCTCCCGCTGGTGGCCTTCGCGCTGGTGACATGGCGGGGCCCCAAGGTGCTGCGGGAGATAAGGGGAGCGCCAGCGCCTGCAGGCGGCAGCCCAGCAGGCACAAGACCAGCAGGAGCAAGACAAGGAGGGGGAAGAACAGCAGGGGCAAGACCAGGAGGCTCAGCAAGCAAGACGCCCCCCCCAAAAAACATAGCTCTCGCCGACCGGGCAGGCATCGTCCTCATGAACATACTTGCCCTGATTGTCGATCTGCCCTACGTGGCCATGGCGCTCCTGATGACGGCCACATTGTGGCGGGCAGTCCCTTACTGGACCGATGCGCGCGTGGCAGCGCGCGACAGGCGGGTTTGGGAATGCACCTGGTCCCATTTCAAGCGATGGGTGTTGGACGTGCCGGCCTGGCTTGGCGCCGGCTTGCTGTTCGCCACGGTGTATCGCCTCCCCGGCCTCTTGGCCAGGATGGCCACTCGATCTCGAATGCCACCGGGCCCTCCCCTCGCCACGGTGACCAGCGCCACGGTGACCTTCCCGGGACGGGGCGCGCAGGTCAGGCTCCGCGGGACCAAGCCGCCCGAGTTGGTCGCGGATAAAGCGCGGCTCCACGTGGGGGATGACGACTGGTGGAACGCAGCAGGAGCCGTCCTGGGCGGCCCGCTGGTTTTTGCCGCGCGGACCATGCTCCCGATGGCCGTCCGGCCGAGCATGATGGATCTCGCGGCTGGGTTCTCCGCTGGGGGACAGGAGTTCGACGCGGAGCTGCGCTTGGGGACCAAGAGTGAGAAGGCCGCCTCCGAAAAGTTGGTTGGTGCGCTGAGGAAGATAGCCAATCGATTCCCCGACGCCGCCATGGACGTTGTGCTGGAGTGCCGTGGCGCCCAGCTGATCAGGCTGCGAGCGAAGGCGGCGGACATGCTGCACGAGGACTGGGGCCCAGACACGGCGCACGAGCTTCCGGTGGCGCCGCCCGAACAGGCGGAGCCCAGGAGACCGAAGGAATATGACGGCCACAAGGCGCGGGATTGTTACCTGGAAGACTTGCGAGACGCGGTCGCGTCGGGGTTAGTGAAACTCGCGCTGGATGCATTCGCCCTCCTTGGGCTGATGGCGATCGTCGCATTGTTCCCCTGGCGCCTGCCCCAGCTGTTCTGTCGGCTGCTGGAGACCAAGGCGCGGGCGAGGCAGCTGGCGGCGCGCAGGGCGCTCGCCAAGGCGCGTCGCAGGGCGCGGGGGCGCCTCGAGGCCGAGATCTTGGCCAAGGACGCGATTGCGGACGGCGCCAAGGCGGTTGTGGGAGGTGGGGCGGGTGCGGGGCCGGGGGCCTCTCAGCTTAGTAAGCTGTGGCTGCGGGGTAGTTGGTACGGCAAGGGCGCGCCAAAGGCCAATACCCTGACGACCAAATCGGAGAGAGAGTCCGAATACGTGCTTTTGCCCCCTGACGAGTTGAAGGACACCCGCCACGGCCCTTCCGGTGCTCCCCAGCGTCCCGTCGCCCTCGGGTGCCATGCCGCGTTCTACAGGCTGTGCCCGGGGATGCGCGAGTCGATGGAAAAGGCGGCCGGCGAGGATCCTGCCGTGGCGGCGGCCTGGGAGGCGCTCCGGGCCAAAGAGGACGAACTGGCTGGCCAGCGGGATGCGCTGCTGTCCGGCGCCGTGAGCCCAGACCATCAGGCAGTGCTGGAGAAGGTGCGGCAGTTGGATTCACTCGCGGCTTACGTCGATCGGATGTATGATGATCTTCTGGGTGCCAAGCCAGACGTCCAGGTTCGGATCGATCCGTTTTGGGCAGGGGCATCCTGTCGCAACCACGGGTGGAGCGAAAAGCGGGTGATCGTCTCCGGCATGGTAAAGGAGGCTGTCCTGGATGTCCTGGGCTTGCTGTCGACCCTCGGCTTGTTCTTGTCGCTGGTCCGCTTCGTGCCTTTCATGGCGGACTGGCTCGCCGGCCGACGCACTTGGCGGGCATCATGCTTTGAGCAGTTGGGTCAGCTGGGGTTGGACGTGCTTTACACCCTGCGGGCATTGATTGTGATCGTCCTGGTGTACCACGCCCCCCAGTTGGTGGCCCAAGCGCTTGAGGCCGTGGTGATCCTGAAATCGCCTGAGATCGCCCGGCGAGTGGTGGAGCGCTATGCAGAGGAGACGTGGGAAGACGTGTACGCACTGTTGAAGCTGCTGACCTTGTGGAAAACCTACAAAGCTGCAGTTGCCACGCTGGTTTGGGGTCTGTTTGTACCAGCGGAAATGGTGGCCGTTTCACTCCAACAGCGTATATCCAGTGCCAGCTTGCGCAGGGCAATTGCTTTGGCCACCTGGCTGGCACTCCTGGGATACCCTTTTGCGTTTATTTTCTGGATGGCGGAGGACTACAGCAACAGCGAGGGCCGCATGGGCTCCGCGGTTGGTGCTTTCTGTGTTCTGCTCATCGCCATCCAGCTCCTTATCGCATGGTGTTATGGGGCAGATCCTGAGGGGCAGTGGTCCACAGTGAGCAGCGCCTCATACGACATCCACTGGTCGTACGCAAACGCCAATGCCCTCTTCAACATGGCGCTAGAAATCTACCAGCATGCAGCCCTGGTCCTTGATATTGGTGGGGTTACGTTTCGACATGCAGCTACTGTCGAAGATGTTGCCTCTCCTTCGTTGCTGGACTTTGATGTTGATTTCTACGAAGTGTTCTTTTGGCTGGCGGTGGGGGCGGTAGGAATATGGTTCGTTGTTGCAGCGCTGCCTGTTGTGGTTGAGTCCATTTTTGAAATCTGCCCACCTAGCACCATTGAAAGCAGGCCACTGTGGAGGATGCTGGAGACCGCTATGTCCACGACGTTCTCGCTCACCATTTTCTCCAATCTGCTTCGCATTCTGGCTTGCACCGAGATGGACGCCTCAGATGGGTTGGTTCTGGATGCTTCCAAAGAAAAGAATGTGCAGTGCTATAAGGGAGATCACCGTGTGATGGCCTTGCTGGCCCTGCTAAGCCTAGCTTACTTTGTGCCAACGGCCACCTGGACCCGTGCAAAGATCAGGGACGACACAGACAAAGATCTTGATGTGCGCTTTGCACCGATCTACCAGTTTGTCATATTCATCTCCAGGTTTGGGCTGGCAGCATTTGTGGAGGTGTACTCGCCACTGTCCAAGTGGGTGAGTTTAGGCGCCTCCCTCCTGCTGAACCTCGGCCTGGCAGCGTTTACCTTTGGTTTCAGCCATTGGTATGGCATTGGCCCCTGTCCCCTGCCAGGGATCTGGATCGCTCGTGGCTTTGGCTTTGCTGCAGCAGCCTGGACAGCATTGGTGGTCATGTTCGCTCCCTTTGAAGGCGAAGTTGCCTCTGTGCCTGTAGTGTTGATGGCGATTGGGATTGGGTACATTGTGGCCATCATCATAGCAATCGTCTTCACTTGGCAGTGGTCCACACGGCATGTTGTAGTCAAACAAATCCCAAGCAGGGACATGCGTTTGGTGGTTGGGTGCCTGCTGGAGTTGGAAGCTATTCTTTTTGTGGCCCATGGCAAGTCGGCATTTGTACCAAAGTGGCATGAACTTCAGGAGGGCAGGTTTTGGCGCCGACTTGTTCGCAAGCACGGCTCCAATACGCCCAAGCAAGGGTGTGCCAAGTGTCTGGGCAATATCAGCGTCCTTGGGGAACTCTTGTTGGAACTGGAGAGGGCAGTCGCCTTTGAGGAAGAGGATCCAGGGTTTCTGCGGCGTAGGCCTGCTTGGAACCAAGAGGCCAAGGAAATTGAGAACGTGCCACAATTGGCCATGCTCATCCTAGAGTTTGGCGGTGGCCTACCTGTCGTGCAGGCAAACACGAAGTGGGCAAGTCAGTGCAGTGCTGGGCTGTCCGGAATTGGAAGATGTTTGCCACAGACGGAAATCATGGTGTGATGTGGGAAGTCAAAGATGGCAAACTGTGAGAGCACAGATGTATTCCTAGGCACTGCTGATCAGGGCAAGAACAGATACTGGCGACGATGCTGCTACCAAGAGGAAGGAACCAGCTGCCAAATTCTGTTTGGACTTGCTGATCTTCATTGTGGCTGCAATTTTGGTGGATGTCCACCAAAACTGTATCGTGGTTTCGATTATTTGGAGATTTATGTTTGGGCAACCTGTTCGAGGGCCCTGGGCATTGTTTTTGTGTAACGTACTGAAAATAGAGATGGATGGTGAGCTCCTGTGGATTTTAACGGGACACCAAAGTATCCAGTGTCTTCGTTGCCAGTGATCACTTACTCTCGTTGAAGCACGGCGATCACATTGCCACTGCCCGCTGCTATGCGCACAAAGACAGAGCGTCCAATCTCTTCTCAGCATGTGGATGCGCTGCTGCTGTTGGCGTCCTCGGCGCTTGTCTTACTCCTGTTCCCCGTTGCCAGACCGCCATTCAGACTTCCTAGCCTCGACAAATGCCACAGCACAACAAAGTCGAAGCGCGTCGCAACTGGAGGTATCTCCCTGAGTTCGCCCACAAGCAAGCCAAAGGCACTGGCACCAGCCAATCGAAAGGGTCCAGGCAGCTCACAAAGGTACACTGAGATGTGGCCCAAGAGGCTACGCCACAATTCGCCATCCACAAGCATCACTCACTATCCCATACCGCACACTTCACCCAAGACTGCAAATCTCTCGGTGGCAAAATTGTGAAATTACGATGTAAAGCCTACAAGAGCCCACCAATAGGCAGCCCGAAGGCGCCATCCTCGGAAAAATGCTGGATATCCTGGATGTTCGTATCCAGGATATGGCCGCCATATTCTGTATGTGTGCAGGATTGACAGCACATGAAGGCTAGTTGGCACAACGCGATATTCAAGAAAACTTAGGTTGACAATTGGACTTTTTTGGTATCAAAATTACCTTGTCGTGCAGGCATCGATTTGGTCCACTCATCCTGGCACAATGCCCAGGATGTGAAGGCCTGCATCCTGGATATGGGCCGTCTGCATCCGGGATATGGCCATATCCTGGAGACCAGACTTGGTATTTACGTTTACGTTTTTGCGTTAACTTTTCTTACGCATAAAAACGTAAATTGTGAAAGGTTTATTTTTGCGCCAATTTTTACATTTTTACGGCTCGTTGGGACACCCAGGTTACACGATGCAAGTCACGTACAATGATCAGTCCTCCGCCATCTCCAGCACCCGCAACACAATGTCCACATCGCCCTTGGCAAGGGCGAAGATGGCGTCCAACAAAAGCTCGTATTTTACCCATCCAGCGCGTCTTGCTGTCACTCCCCGGACTCCCTGAGTCTGTATGTACAGAGGGCTGTATTTACGTTGTATTTACGTTTTTCTACGCATTTTTAGGCGTTAAAAAAACAATTTTACACATAAAAACTTAAATACGATTTGCGTTAACGGCGTAAATACCAAGGCTGCTGGAGATGTATTTCCAGTGATGCAGTGTCCGCTTCCTATTCAGGATATGGTACCTTTTGCCGGCGTTTGGAAGACTAAGGCCATAACCAGGATACCGCACCCATATCCAGAACATGGCTGTATTCAGGATATGCAGCTCATAGATCTTCTGCATGTACTCAAACAGCGTAACATCGCTAAAATCATGTGGAATCAATGCAGGCTCTTTTTAAGGAGACCAGCTCGTGTAGTCTTAACCGCCATTTTAAACCCACACGCCACCTTTGATGCCTTTTGCCATCAGTGATAAGAAATCGGCGACCCAGGTGGTCGAAACAGGCCAGGCTACTTCGGGAGGCTAATTTGAAAGATCAACGCACTTGGGTCGCTCGCAACTCCTCTTGCAACTGCGAACATGGTCATTAGCGCTGTGGCGCACCGAAAGCCCAATGATGGCGTGCGCCCACGGCCCAGCTGCTATTGGCAGCTGGATTAATCCGAACCACAAACTCCCACGGCGTTAGAAGACGATTCGTGCATTACAGATGGCGCCTGTGGAGTCAGAACGATGCAAAATTCGATGCCCATTCGGGGCGATCCCGCCCACAAATAACTAATTAGACCCCCAACATACAGAGCCTTGCAACTTGAAAGAAGTGCACCAGAAGCACCCACCGCATTCGAGCTTGTGAACTTGTCTTTGCTCATGTCACTTTGTTCTCGCCGTTCTATCATTCCAGCTTTCCCGTCGTCTGTTGGCCAGGGGAAAGAAAGAACTGCCCAGCCCATTTTCCCATGCAGACGCTCCCACCCCCGCCTCTACTCGGATGTCCGGTACCGATCCTTCACCATGAAAGCCAGGTGCTGGTGGCCGACGTATTCGGGCATGAACGGCGCACCCTTGGGGCCCTCGATGCCCTGCAGCGGCGAGTAGAACTGCAGTCCCCGGCTGTCCGCGTCCTCCTTGGTGTCACCCATCTTACCCAGCAGCGAAGGGAAGAAAACATCGCGAAACTCCTCGTTGAGCTCCTTGATGCTCACCACCGCGGCGTCGCGAGTCAGGCTCCTGTCCGTCACCACCTTCGTGAAGGCCTCGATGTAGTGGTCGACCTTCTTCTTGTCCGCACCGTCCATCTTGTTGTACCGAAGCTTCTCATGCAACTGCCCCTTCTGCACCTGGATAAACGCCCCTTGAAAATCGGCCGCCAGGGCCCCAGCCAGCTTCCCAGTCTCATCCTCCCCCAATCCTTCAGCCTGCAACATCCCAACCAGTGCCGCTCGAGCTGGATCCCCATCCGGCCTTCCCAGCACCCCATTTAGCGATGCCGCAAATCCCTTCCCGACCTCCTCTCTCGGAAAGTTACTCGCCATAAAGTGCGCGAAAAGCGTGACGACCGTAACCGGCCGTGTGAACAGCCCGCAGCCGTCCCTCCCCGGGTCCGTCTCCACCCCTTTAGGCCCATAATCCGTCCACGGCCTCACCCGGTCATCCAGTACCCGCAGCCTCTGCCTGTGGTACCCCCTGTACCGGATGTTGGTCATCTGCTCCGCGTTGACGTACCCCTTGTCCGCTAACACCCCCCAGGCCTCCTCGGGACTCCGGCCCTCAAACTCCGCGGCCATGGCCTCTAACCTCCTGAAAGCGGCCTCGCTAATCCGCCCCTCTTCCACGCTGCGCCTATTTAGCACCACATTAAGGCCCGCATTTTTTACATTAACTTTTCCTTCCTCGCAGTACTCTGCATACCCGGCCAGAGTGTCCATAGCCTCGCTCCTGGTTGCTTCGCCCTCAGGCGAGCAGGCAGCGCCCAGCACGGCCTCCGCCCACGGCCCCAGGTCCGTTGCCTTCTTGATCTCCACCGGGTTGCGCGAAAACGTCCTCCGCCCCGCCATGCGGTCCTCGGCCGTGTCCTCGGGGTAGGGCACGACCAGCGCGTCAAGCGCCGACCACATCTCCGTGTTCTCCGCCCAGGCCTTGAAAGTGTCCGTGTCCGGCATCTCCCCGCCCTCCGCGCCGCGCCATGCGATCGTCGAGGGGTCGAACACCGTGAGCGACCACCAGCAGGGGGAGTCGTCCTCCACCGTGGTCGGGTTGCCAGCATAGTTCGCGGGCTGGTCGTACCACAGGATCTTCAATCCATCCAAATCGGCCACATCCGGTTCGCCCCTCTTTTCCAGCACCCTTTCGAGCTCATCATTCCAGGCGAGCGAAATCCGTCCTCCGTGGGTCACGCCGTGCGTGATGCCGTTGCCGGCCGCCACCTGCTCTGGGCCGCCGCCGGCATTCACCAGCGCGTAGACATTGTTCTTGTCCAGGTGGGCGCCGCGGCGGCTCAGGTCCACCAGCACGCGCTTCAGGGCGTGCACTTCCGCCCCCTCCCCCCACGGGTCCTCGTTCCCAATGTACAGCACCCGCTGGCCCTTCCTCCCCCCCAGCTCCGGGAGCATGTGGACGTGCCGGTCCGTGACGTACTTGAACGGCGCGCTGGTGGCTTCGATCAACGGCGCGATCGGCTCCAGCGCCTTCGCCGCGGCGGCGTTCGAATCCGCGTCGCTCGCGCCTGAAGCCATTGCCGCCGCCTTTGCCTTGCCGCCGACCGCCGCCTTCAAAAAATCCCCCAGGCTGCACCACACGCCGACCCTGAACGCGTCCAGGGGTTCTTTTAGGGGCGGCAGACCAATGCTCTTCCGGTAGTCCTGCACGCTGTCCCGGGTGTAGCGGTACTCACTGCTCATAAACGGGGCGAGATTGAGCTTGTATAGGTCCAGCGTGGAAGCGGGCAGGATCGTCCCGGCACCCCACTCCGGCCGCAGATCGCAGGCCGGCCTTTCCTCGTTGATGCCGATCGTCCGAGCCACCGGGGCGGGCGGGTCGTCTTCCCGGAGCTCTGGCCGAGTCTGGCCGAGCACGGGCGCCTGGGGCGCCTGTACATTACCCCCAATGCCCCCATCACCGCCATTGACCACCTCTCCACCGTTGCCCAAGGTAGGCGTGCCCGCGGTTTGCCCGGCCCGAGAGGGCGGCTCCTCCTGCTGCGGCTTTGAGGCCCCACCGGGGACCGCTCGAACGGGGCCCCCAAATCCTCCTCGAACCCGCTCGCGCTGTAGTTCAGCGACTGCCCCCGGCATCCTGGGCCTCCGGAGCCCGGCTGGGATCGCGGCCGATCGGGCCGATCGGGGCGCCGTTCCGGAGCGGAGGCGAAGGGCGGGGCGGCGGGGCGGCAGGACAAGTCCGCGCGGCATGCCGGCGGGAGCCCTCGCGGGGAGCATGACGCCGAAGGCGCGCATCTGCCCGCCCCTGCACGCGCCGCCGAACAGGATTCAAAACTCCGGGCGCTTTGAGACTCGAGCCTCGGAAGCTTCAAAACCAGGTCCGCGGAGCGCGAGAATCGACGCCCGGATCGCGGGGCCCCATCGTGGCTGGCGCACGCCCTGCGGCGGGATCATGAGATGGCCGCGCACCGTGGCGCCTTCGGTGGCGCTAGATCGCTCGAACGGGGCTTCCGCGCGGAGATGGCGCGGAGCGCTGTCGGCGGGCCGGGGGTTGCTGCGGACGCGGAGAAAATGAGCAGCGGGGAAAACAAAAAGTCTCGGGCCGTGGCAAGGGGTAGGGTCTCTCACCGGTGGCGGAGAGGAGCGGAGGGGAGGTGCGGCGAGGCGAGGCGGCGCGCCGGCAGGTCACAGCGAGGCTGCCGCCCCGCGAGGCTGCAGCGGTCAGGTCAGCGAGGAAGAGATCTGGGGCGCCCCGGTTGCAGCATGGGGGGCATGGCGCTGGGCGCCTTGTCATTGTTAAAAATAGGACGATATGACGGGCACTGACTGGAGATTTACGTGGAGCGGTACAAAAATTGCCCGGTGATCGTGGCTCGTGATTCGTACGAATGACGAGGCGCGACCACTGCGACAATGTACTAGTCCCTGTGAAGATCCCTTCTTCCGCTGACAAGGCCAACGTGGGTCAGTGGTTTAGGGTGCCGAAACAAGAAGGGGTCTTCACCGTCAAGACAGGGCGATTAATTTCATGCCGGCCAGTGCGGGACAAGGCGGCTCGTGACGGCACAGCTCCTGTCAACGCCCTTCATGAGGAGAGGAGAACGCCCTACTGCTGTCGAGTTTGCGCGGCGCGACGCGTTGTAGGCGCCAAGCTCTCATTCCCCAGACAGCAACAGTTGTTTGTGCGCGAGCACCACATCAGCCAGCAAGGAAGCTCGAGCTCAGCTCGACGGAATTTTGTCACAGCGCGGATGCGAGATCTGGCCTGGCAACAGCTTCGTTTGTTGATGTCCGGCGCCGCCAACGTTCAAGACAAAAAGTGTGTTGCACAATACACCCATCAATGTCATGGGATACACTACATGTGCGCGCGCAGGAGCGTGGTGCTCAATGGCAAAATGGAGGTAACGCCACGCACACCGAGCGAACGGTGCCGTGACGGTCTGCCTAAGCCTCTGGAAGCATAGGCGTGCCCTGGCAATGCAACCTCGATACAGATATCAGAGCGCAAACATCATTTCCTTTGAGAATGAGCATTCACTAAGGAAAGAAACCAACTTGAGGGCTTTGCAACATATACGGTGATGAGATTCGATATGTGCTTTTGCTGAAACACGCCAGATATCATGTGGAACAAAACATATGGGGTTTTGAGTTTGGTTGCCACGGCACATGCAGGGTCGAATATGAGGTGCAAAACAGTTCTAGGTGGAATCCAAAAGAGCATGGACATCTGCAACTGCATCGAATGGAACGAAGCTTGCTAAGTTGTCTGTTGCTATACTTCAATCATGTAAGATAACTGCGGTGGCCTGCATTTCAAGAACAGGACCTGGTTTTGCGTTCGCCCTGTTTTCCGCAATGTGCTCGGTGCCAGGCCCTACATGAATTCTTACCCTCTTGTATGCACAGTTATTTGTAATCACATCCGACATTCTGGGCAAACTTTCAATTGCAGTTGTTTTGTACATATACGTTTCCTACGGAAATTGATAAAAACAAACAACAAAACCTCGCCAATGTTGACATATTGGAGCATTCTGCAGCGCTGCTGGGCGCTGCATCGATGGCAATGCAGGCACAATATTGTATCGAATTCTGCCCCAATTCCGGGTGGATCCTACGCATTTTCGGATGAAACACTGCATTGCAATATACTTAGCATCTAGCCAAAGGATGGACGTTGATATAACGATGTGGTTGCTTTCCCATTAATGCAATGCCCAATTTCGCTTCATACACTGTTCACATGTCAACATTAACAAGCGCTTACAGTATGCCACGCTGTGCCGATGCTGGCACACCAACCTTGCTGCAGTGCATGTCTAGAAGTGACGTGACTTGCCAGCATCAGCATTTGTAGATAAATAGCCCGAAATGAAGGAAAGCAAGCTTATTTGCCTTAAAGCAATGGATGGCCACAATAGGTAACGAAGAAAAATATGGTTTGGAACCCTGGTCCAAGGAGAGCACGGACAGCGATGTGAAAAGTAAGCCCGAAAACTGGCAGGTAGGATAGAAACAACAAAGAGGTGCATTTAAAATGCAATAGATTTATTGCCAACTCTAGAATTGGCAAGAAAAGGTCGCACTGCGCCAACATCTGACCAAGACTTGGTCCATGCTATGGACAACACGTAGTGCCGTGAATTTGTCATTGTTTCCAGCACAAATTTCCGAAAATGTGTGTCGTGCCATAGCCAAGTCCGTCGTAATATGCGACGATTGAGCAGAGTTGCTTGCACTGAGCTATCACTGAAACTTCAGGACTCTTGACAGAGTCCTTGTCTCTAAGCTACTGGATATCTCGACACTTCATGCAGGCCGCGTGTGGAGCGGCTTCCGCAGTCCTAACCCGCTGCCAACGAATTGTTGCTTGGATGTGGCTTCCTCCAGTATGGCATCTATTTCGCCGCATTGATTCCATTCAGCAACTCCAACGCCGCTTTCCGATAAGTATGTGACCCAGCATGCCCCTCCAGCTCGACGCCTGGGGCCCCAGCCCCTCGGACCGTGGACCGGGAGGTTTCCGCCCGACCTTTCCATGTGACGCTGCCCTCTCTCCTTTGTGCGCAGTTGGGCTGCCCGAGCGGCAGTTTGATGCGTTCGAGGGGCGAACGGAGAGCGGAAGAGAGGGCTTGGGCCCCCGTAGCGCGTCCAGCCTCGCCCCTCAGGAGGGCGTTTACCAGCAGAAGACAGCATTGTTGTGATGCTATCTGCGATGCCATTGGGCACTGACTGATCCATCCCACCTACTTCCTTAATACCGTAAACACTGTGGTGGCACCAATTGGTGTCCAAATATTTCGATTGTGGGACTGCGTGGGCCTCCCTGGCACCTCCCCCGCGTGGGAGCCATTGGGTGTGGGACTGTGTGGGCCTCTGTGGCAACTCCCGCGCGTGGGGGCCCCATTCCCTTGCGTGGGAGCCGCGGGGTGTAGGACGGCGTGGGGCTTCGTGGCGGCCCCCGCGCGTGGGGGTGGATTCTGTGCGTGGGACAGTGTGGCTGCATCCCCACATGGGCCCAGCACGGGCCCGTGTGGGATATCCCACGCCGTGGGTGCATTCTTACACCACCCCACGGCGCCCCACAGCGTGGGGCGTAGGCCCACGTGGGCCCACCTGGGACGCCCCACGCTTCTGTTACCCTAGCGAATGGCATCGCAACACTGGTATTTTTGCTAGTGGTTAGACGCACTCTTCAAAAGTTCTGGAGTGCACACTGACCGGAATTCCGGCCTGGGGAAGGCTGCACCCTATTCTTGGGTGGTCCCGTTCTCGGGCTGGTGCGGGCGGCCTTTGCCGCAGGTCTCAGCCGCAAAATCGGTTATTGTTCGAGATCAACGTAGCAGAGGTGGCCAGGATCTTTCCATTTGGGGGCTTGAGGTCCAAGTTCCCCGGACCTTTGCCAGAGTTGCCGGCGGGCATGGCGGGTTGCTGAAACCACAACTTTCGATTCATATTCGCTAATGTCCCTTGCCGTACTGAGCAGCGCTCATTCCAGGACAAGAACATGGTGCTTCAATACGTGCCAACATTATCCGATCAATCTGGTCATTGGCGCTTGATTGTCGCCTTTGTGCCGCTAGCTATCAGGCAGTGGGGGGCGCGATCTGTGGGGTTGCATGGCGATGGGGGGAGCTCCTCATAGCGGTGGTAATACCTTGGGTTGGTGGGGGGGATTGTGGTGGGTGGTGATCGTGCAAGGCGCGTTTTTGCCAGCATCGAGCGTGAGCCATAAAAACAACTTAACAACCCATTTTTATTATGTTTGTGCTGCCATTGTTTTTTGCAAGGGGCTACGTCCGGACAACAACTTACATTGTATCCAAAATTCCAACAAACATTGAACGACAATGCAGTCAAACCCACCTAAAAAGGAAGGCCGGCAGAATGCACCTTACGCCGCCCCCATATGCACCACTCTGCCGCCCTCATTGCCTCACGATTCGCTCCCGAATCGCACTCCCCGGCGGCCATTTCCAGCACCCATCCTATATCCACCGAATGAGCAGCGTCCGCCTCGCCATGCTCCGCGCTGTCCAGACATCGGACGCCCGTGATCCTCCCCATCCATCCGCCGCTTGCCGCGTGCTCACAGCCAGCCAGCCCCCCGCAAACTTCCAACTCCTGCGCATGCTCTTAGGGTGCCAAACAGCGAAGTGCCAGAGGGGTGTTGTATTGATTGAAGAATTGCGAATGTAAAATGATGGTAGTGTGAGTCGGGCATAAATGCAATATTGTATCTGTGTCGGGTCACTCCCCATATGCACTCAAACTGTCCGCGTGGTTCCAATCGTCCATGCATGCCCCTGACGCGATATCCAAGGCCTCGGCCGGTCTGGACACGTCCAAACGCGTTTGAGCTTGTCTACGCAGTGCGCGGATGTGTCCGAGCGGGCCATTGAAAAGCCTTCTGAGGCCCCGGACGCTCTGGACGCCTCCGAGCGCCTTTGGGCACTCTAAGAGTGTCCAGGGGGTGCGCGGAACCGTCCGAGGCCCTAAAAAGTGGTTCAGTGTCCGCTCGGACACATCCGCGCACTATGCGGATGTGCTTGGATACATCTAAGCGGCTCGGAAATTGCACGGACGCCCCCCTTTTCCCGTAGTGCATCAATTGGCTAAGTATTGAGGGAGATGTGCCCCCCCAATCATGGGCATGTCGGACAAATTGCGGTGCAAGCCTCAAGATGGCCTAGAAACTATAGTGCTTGGACAACTAATTTGGACCATTTGCAGTACTTCACCTGGTACATTGGAAGTGGTAGATGACTTAGATTTTAGCATAGGTCATC